AATAATAATTTGATGGTGGTGTAAACATTTGAACTCTGAAGCAGAATTCAGGGGTTGAATTCACAAGTAGCTGAATGAGTTTTGTATCAAAWAATAAAGTCAGCTGAGATGTTTTTGGTTAAACCTTTTTTTTAGAATAGTAGTTTTTTTTTCTGTGGGAAGGCATGATGTACGCATCTTATATACTGTATTTTTGTATGCCATCCCAAACATTTCTTGGTTTTGATGTCTTTAAGGTCAGTTTATGGGCAGTACTGATGTGTTCTGGATCACATTAGGAATAATCAGTTGAGGTTTGTGGCAGTCTGTGAGTGGTGCTTCATTTAAATCTTAAAGTATAAGATTTGGTTTCTTCTTTCTGCTACCTTTCATTTTATTTGATACGTATTTTTGAATGCAATTTTTTTAATTAAATGACTAAATGATTAAAAATAATAAAAATAAATTGTAGGAATGTTTATCTGAAATTGGAAAAATGTTCAGATAACATTAATATCATCATAATATTAATGTTTATAATTCATTCAGTCACAATAGAGTTATTAATTAATTTTGAAAGACCTAAATCAAAAAAACCTTAGAATTACATGCAGCAGTGTGTTTACACTAACACTGTTCTTATCTTGAGTTTAATGATGAACATCTCCTGGTTCTTCASCTCCACATGACAGTATTATTTATCAACCCAGATTGAAAATGTTTGTCACCGTTTGGACTTTCAAAAGCCACTGAAAACTCACTGAATTGGAGTTCTAAGACATTGCCACATCCAGAGATGTTTAAAAATGTTACAGAGGCAGAAAAAGTCCACAACATTCGCATTTTTTCTCACATCTTCGTTTGTATTTCACAGATAGGTGATCGACGTAGTCGTGACTAAAGACAGCAGGAACGTCCCGTTGCTCACCACAATGTTTTGTCCATCACGATAGGGAGGAGGTCACATGACTGAAAACTATCTATGAATAGAAGTTTTAGCACTTCAAATGTATTCAAGATGGATATGCTGTGACTAAAAGTACATTGAAACATTGGTTACGCTGGAATCCTATCAATAAACGATCTGTTTCAGCCATTCTCCCTGCTCCCAGATTGCACTGACTTCCTCTTCCTTTTAAGTCTTGTTGTCAATGCAGTCTCAGAGCACACTACTGCCACCATCAGGGTGAAATTATTATGCTTTACAATATACTTTAATTATTAAGTTTATGCAATATTAGAGGCCTTTGTGTTCAGTTGTCCCCCTCTTACAATGCTATTATTGCAAGTATGACTCCCTGTGAGCAATAGGTGTGAATCAGGCCCCAACGATGGAGCACATGACCCTCTATGAACAATAAAGTTAATCAAGGCATTAATGATCTATTGTTTTATTGATTTTCCTCTTTTGCTTGTGAACAACCTCTGTCCACCACGTGGAGGCAGTGCTTATAAGGCTGAGTTCTCCTGAAACTCATCAGACTGAAGAAGTCTCTTGGAGGAGAGACGAAACGTTTCACTAAAGAAGAACCCGTCCAGAGGACCTAATTGTTTTTTTKTTTTTAAYTTATTTCTACCTGYATTACTGAGATGTATCAGGACAAATACGTACAATACTTTATCATTTAACAACTATTTTACTTTATACAATATTGCAATAATGTTTGCTTTTTTACTCTTAAGTAATCAGTATGAGATCTCCATGTTAGCTTCTTGTCAATGATGACACCCAAAAATTTAATTTTACCGACCCTATGAATTTCAATACTAATAATTCTGAATGGAGCTTCATTACAGTTCTTTCTATTACTAAATATCATGTGCAGCATTTTGTTTTATCCAAATTTACTGACAACTCATTCAGATGAAACCATGGTTCTATTTTCATAATTTCTATTTGTATAGTCGTCAACATCTGTTRAATGTTTTCACCAGAACAAGAGTGTTGTGTCACCAGCAAACAAAATWCATTTTAAAACCCTCGACACATTGGCCAGATCATTCACATATGAAATAAACAGTGAGGAACTCCACAACTAGTGTTACATAATTCAGATCTTACATTGTTTACTTGTACAAACTGTTTCCTGTTTTTCAAACAACTAGACGCCCACTGTAGTGCTGATCCTCTAATGCAGTGTTTCCCAAATTTGGGGTCGGGACCCAAAGTGGGGTCCCGAAACATCAAGATGGGGTCCTGAAAAGATTTTCTGAATTAATTACATTTTTGCCTTAGTTGTTACAAAAGGA